CCTTAGCAGCAAAGTTATTATTACGCAGGACAAAGGCATTTAATATGGATAGTGTTGCGTCATCGAGTCACATGACTACTGTGACGCAACGTTTCTAGAACTATCATGTACTTTGGCGAATGTTCGAGTTCTTACTAGATATAGGGTAGGTTGGTATATAAAAGAGGGGAATGTAATGTGTGTGTGGATAGTGAGTAATTGAACTGCAGTCACAGGGTATTGTTGAAGTTAACGTTCGTTCGTTACAGTGTTGTTTTAGCGCGAGTATTGAGATTAAGTGTATCGCAGAGTTATATTCGGAAAGAATAAACCAGTTTTATTAAGTAAAGACTTGTGTCGTTAAAGTTTCGTTGAAACGAAGTTACGGAAAAATCAATTAACAAACGGAGACGTAACAATATTTACATCAATGATAATTCATTCCATTTGTGGACCAAAGTTATAACACCTAGTTAATTTTTTATATAAAATATTCATATTATTATAAACTAAAAATCGTATAATACACTGAAAAACTTGCAACAGCAATATGAGAAATGAAGAAGCAACAAATATTATGCATTTATGAGTGTGTGATACTAACAGATACCCTGGGATAAATAATTAAAGCCTCATACTTCCAAAACGACAATACTACCTTCGCTTTTCAATTTTCTCATCTCTGTGTGTGTGGAGACTGTTTGTGTTACTAAGGCAAGTAAGAGTAGGCTTATTTTGTGAGCTGTAACAACTAAGTACATATGAAACAGGTAGGTCTGTGTAAATATGTAATTATTTATGTCGGCTGTTATTTTGAACAACAGACAAGTAATTTTTATTTAGATCTGCGACATCTTTCTTCTGAACGCTGAAGTCGTTGTGTAAATAGGAAAAATACGTTATCAATTTTACTTTTTAGGTAATTTCAACGCCAGAACATTAAATCTGTTTTTAACTTAGGCTTAAGTTAAAATGTTGCTGTTGGAAATATGGACATGACTTGGTAAGGATTTCATACTCACTTATATATATGTTATATGGTTATGAAAGATTTTAGGCATTTTAATATTTTATATTTTTGTGATGGCATTTAATGCAAGTTTAATTTACAATTCCTACATTATATTGTATATTTTTTTTACACATTTTGTTTCTCATTTTAGGTTCCTGTTTTTATTTGTTTTCCATTAGTATGATTAGATAAAGCTTATTTCTTTATTGGCACATTTTGATGGGTATTGATTAAATACTATATTGGTTTTGTTTTGAGTGATATCCTATTTGTTAAATGTCTTATCACTTTGGAGGTTATTGTTGAGGTGTTGTGTAGCTTTTTATTATATGATTTTGTTCATTCATGAATTATATTTCAAGGTATTAATTTCAAATTAACGCAGTCACATACTCTATTGTGCCTAAAAGTAAAAGATAAAATTTCTTTAACTTTTTTTTGCCAATCTTTCTACACAAAATCCTGTTAATTTTATATATTTTAATAACTTCTGATATAATATTAGAGGTGTTTTATTTTGGTTTTGTGTAAGTATTCATTAAATTTTTATTTTATTTTTATACTGTGGTGCTGCTTTGTCAATTCCCTGGTATTGTTATGTTAGTCTGTGATGCAGATACTGGCTGTTTATATGGCTGCAAGAATTTATTTAAAATGTGCAATATTATCAGGTATTGAGCATATCATTTTCAGAGATGATTCGTTATGATCTTTTTACAATATTTATATTTTAAGAGTTTCACTAAATTGTGTGAGTGATTGGATTTAGTAATTTGTTTGAGTGAAGGTTGTTTTTTCAATCATAGGGAACTATCAGGGCTCAGTTTTAGAACCTTTGCTCTTTTTAATTTGCATCAGTGACATAGAAGAAAGAATGATCAATAAATTAATTAAGTTTGCAGATGATATTAAAGTTTTTGGGTGTTGTTGTCTGTGATGAGGAGGATGCTGATTTGTAAAAGGGTTTAGATTATTTGGTAAGTTTGGCAAATAAGTGGCAGATGGTTTTTGATTATAATGTATGTAAAGTAATGCATGTGGGATATTGCAATTTGAGTACAATTTTGATGGGAATAACTTTAACAGTGTTAGGGAAGAAAAGGATCCTGGTATTCTGGTTGGTCACTCTCTTAAGCCATCCAAGTAATGTTTTGTTACTAGTGGCAGGGCAAACAGGATTTTAAATTGTATCTACAGAAATATTGAATACAAGTCTGAAAAGGTTATAATTTCATTGTATAAGACACTGTGTTCAGTCTTAAGCTCCTTACCTTGAAAAGTACATTGAATTGTTGAAAAGGGTTTGTAGGAGGCCTACTAGGATGGAAAGCTTGTCATTAGAGGACAGATTAAAATTTCTGAAATTCTTTTTGCTTCAAAAAAGAAGAATCTGATGAGATGTTTAAGATTGTTAATGGAGTTGATAGTGATGATGAATCATCTTTTTTAACACTTTGGTCTTTGGAATGGGTTGCCTTTGGATGTGATTATTGCATTAAATTTAAGGTATTTAAAAGGGAGAATTGATATATATTTGGATGATAAAGAATCGCTTGGAGTTTAAATTTTTCTCTTTTTTTTTATTAATAGTTTAGTGGATCAGATAGCCCAGATTGAGACACATCCATTGTTGCTCTTAAATCATATGTATAACAAACTTATGTTCTATTGTCTTCAGAATATAGTACAAAGACATCAGAGGACTTTATCTTATCATTCCCCTGAAAGCTTGTAAACTTCAATGAGATCACTTCTTACTCTTCTTTTCTCAAGAGAAAGAGAAAATAAGTTAAGAGATCTTAATCTCTCTCTCTGTAACATAACCCATTCCTGGATTATTCCTTATAGCTCTCTTCTGAACCATGTCCATTAAGCCCATGTACATGTATGACTAATGAAATTTTAGTGAGGCTTCATTTGGATTACTGTGTACAGTATTGGTTCCCTATTTAAAGGAAGGATACCAACATGCTGTTTGAAGTAATGGGTTACTATAATGATGCCTTGTCTCAGTCTTTTTTTTTAGCCTCTGAAGAAAACCTTATAGTGTTTTGACTTTTTGTTTGGACAAAGAAGAGTATAAACAAAGATTTGTTCTTGAACATTTTTATGGGAAGTGGGTGGATAGAATCATAGGCTTGCAGAATAATATTTCTGATAATGTGAAGGAAGTTTGAATTTTTAAAATTGTTTTGATTAAATACGTGGATATGAAGGGCTATATTTAAGGTGGATTTAAAATAAATCACAGGAATTTTTATTCTTTGGTTTAGGTGTGAGTGAATGACATTGTGTTCAGTATTTTCCAGGATATTAATTATATAAATAGATTTGTAAATCAAATTTTTATACTTTCTGCAGACTATAAACCAAGATGTCTAGCACAGATTATACACTAGCCAAGAGCTGACATGGATGAGTCTTTTCTGAATGACCTTTTGGAGTGCTCTGTGTGTTTTGAACAACTTGATGTCACCAGTAAAGTATTACCTTGCCAACATACTTTTTGTAAACGATGTCTGGAGGAAATAGTTACTTCTCATAAGGAACTACGCTGCCCTGAATGTCGAGTGTTGGTAGAGACACAGGTAGATGACCTACCTGCTAATATCCTGCTTGTGAGACTGCTGGAAGGTCTAAGAAACAACTCTCGGCCCAGTAAAACTAATATTTTAGGAAGTGAAGATCAGGATCAAAAACAAACTACTCCTCAGCATGTAGCTTCTGCTGGGCTCAAAACAACAGCAGCATTAACTGCCCCTCTTCCACCTTCAGTGTGGCAGTTTGCAGCAAGAAGTGGAGGAGAAGCAAGAATTCTTCCCAGACAGGTCCCTGTAAGTTACTTTTCTATTCATCTATTGAATCGTCAGGCTGAAAGAAACTATAAATTAGTTATAAGTGCTTTTGAGTTAACATGGGCTTAATAAAGACATTTTAGAGGATCAGATAATCCAATGTGAGGTTTGCTTGTCATTGAACTTTTGGTACAGTCATGTGGTGGTGATACAGAGTAGAAATCAGTAGTTAAGCCTGGTCAAGACCTTCTAATATGTAATTGGAACTTTGGTTGCTATTCAGTTTCAGTCTCTGGTCAGTTTTTACTTTAGTTTCTGTCTTTGGTGAGTTTGTAATGAATCTTTCATTTTACTCTAAAATTGATCCAATGCTAATACCAGGATTTATTAGAACTTTCAAAACTAAAACAGAATATACTTTAAATTTGAAAATGCTGGTCTTGGACTTTTAGAAATGACACAACTAGAGTTGGACCATTAGTGGACTCTGTTAATTGATTAAGTGCTGAGCTCATTAATTGATTATTCTCACCTGAGATGGTTTAAAAGGAAAAAAAATAGTGCTGAAAATTGGGTTTTGATATCTGCAGTGGGCCAAGCACAGACAGGTCAGTGTATAGCTTTGTGTTTAACAACAAACAAACATAATGGCAATGTTTTAATTATTTGGATAGTTGGAATAATTGAAAATAGTAATAACGGGAAACCCTAATTTCAGTAGGTTACTGTTTTAGTGATTCACGACACTAACTGATTTAAACTGAACAAACGCGAGTTAATCCAAAATAATAATGAAAATCATAATGCCAATATTTCGATTATGTGATAATTGGAATAATTGGACACATTAATTTTGATTATTTTTGACATTAATTAATTTAATCTTAATCAGTTGTTTTATGTGACACTAACTGATTGAATTAATTGCCCAGCACTAGACACAACTGAACTTCAAACTTGTATCTCAACACTATAACTTTGACACAAGAAGTTAGGAAAAGAAGCAGAAAAAAAAATCTTTGTAAATCATCACAAAATCTAGTTTAATAGTATAATTCTTTCTTAACTCTCTGACTAATGATAACTCATAACAGTTTTAACTGAATTTCAAGCATTATTCAGTTTAAAAGCTCAATGTCCTCAAGCATCTGAATTACAAGTCTCCAGTTCTCTTTTATTTGCTGCCAGACAATGAGATTACAAATTAACCCTTTCCATATGGGGTCAGTCAACGTGACAGACCTTGTAACCATAAAGTAACCATCGTAGTTTCTATACACTAACTTTTCATATGTTTTATGTATCTTCACAAAACTTTTTCAAGCTTTCAGATAACATAAAAAAACCTGATTTTTGTATACAAAAGAATTGTTAATTAAGTACTTTTACTAAAGATTTGTCCATGAATATATGGAGTCCAAGTGCAAAGTAATTTCATATTAAAATTAAAAATACTTTTCTTCATCTGAAAAATTTCAAATTTCATTTGTATAGCTTTTAAAAGCTCCTAAATAAATATAAAATTTTTATTTTTCCATAAAACTATGTTTTATCTGTTACTTTCTATACCATAAATTTATTTTGAATTTTCTGATAGTGGTTACAGGGTTTATCAGATCAACCAAGTCCATATAAATGTAAATCACTTTTTTTTTCTTCCTAGAATGACTGCAGATTGTAACAGGAAATACAGTTGTGCATCTTAAACAGCTTAAAGCTTCTAACAGTTTACTCATGTTTATAAATTGTTTTATTGCCCTTTTAACTGTGTTTAATTAAATGTAAATCACTTGATGAACACCTAGCTCATGTTACCATATTGAATGACATAACATATGAGCTGCTTGAAAACATACCTTGCAAAGAATTTTTATTATTGTAATTATTTTTCATTATCTTGCCTAATCTAATCTTATTTAACCTAACAAATTTCTGATTTTTACATACTTATTACTTCTATAACAATAAATAAAAGATATACATGAAAAAACAAGAAATATGATCCTTTCCTTTGATCTTTTGTTTTTTTTTTGCTGTCAGTTGAGAATGAAACTTGTGTCTATTATTTTTATACTAATGGTGCTAGTACATCAATAACTTTTTATTTACTTAAGTAATGCACTTCAAAATACAGAATAATGACATGCATAAAACAAACTATGTCCTATGACCATCATAATTTAACTGTTTTTCTAATTTTGGCATAAGAGCCTTAAGAGCCTGAACACCTCAAGAGAAACTTTCAAAGTGTAGACAAAATAAACAGTACTCTGTACTGAAAACAACATAATATTTTACATCATTTGATAGATTAAAACTGCCTTTTTATTGGTTGTAAATAATATAGTATAAATGTGAGAGATTATTATTGGCAACTGTGAAATAGAGGACGTAAAGGTGGGCATAGCTAGCGGGTCAGATTTTCTGGTGTATGACTCTGTAAACAAATAAGATTGAAGGCTACAAAAATTAGACTTTACTTTAGTAACATCTATATTATAATGAGTAGTTTACTTTAAATTACATAATTTAGAGAGGGGTGGTCAATAAATTGTAGTAGGGAGAAGACCTAGAGAACAAATGTCAAGATTCTCATGGTAGGGGAGATTGAGAATTTAAAAAAAATATTTCCTTATAAAATTAAGAACTTAAAACTTATATAATATTAAAACTTGATTTACTAACTAAGCTTTGATGCCAGGTTTATCTATATACATGATAGTAAAATAGCTTACTTAGATTTTTAATGTAATTTTATAAAAGATCATGATACACGCTCTTTGATCTATTCATAGCGAGAGGGTTAATGTGGGGTAATTGTTGGTTATTGATGAAACATCTTATCTTACTTACACAGAGTGATTTATATGTGACAGTAGTTACCTTGACAAAGACCTCAGTGCCACCTAGTGTCAGTCATTTTGTCTCACTATGAGAGTAATGTTATAATCCATTCTAGCATTGTGTGAGCTAGCATCATGCATAAATAAATACAACAGACCACAAATATAAGACATAGGAACAGTCATTTATAGCCTGGAACAGGAACTTCTCAACAAGTATCCAAACCCATTGTCCTTCAAATATTTATAGGAGGAGGACTGTATTTCTCAACAAGTATCCAAACCCATTGTCCTTCAAATATTTATAGGAGGACTGTATTTCTCAACAAGTATCCAAACCCATTGTCCTTCAAATATTTATAGGAGGACTATATTTCTCAACAAGTATCCAAACCCATTTTCCTTCAAATATTTACAGGAGGAGGACTGTATTTTAAAACAATAAGATAGAATACAATATTAATATCCTATGCCATCACATTAAAACTCCAGAACACTTATTAAGAATTCCAAAACAAAAATGTATCCTGAGATATCAGACTTCTGTTTGTTGACAAAAGTAGGTTGCAACATGGTACTAATAGCCCATTTCCAAGAAAATGATCATTAATAGCCCATAAAATGTATTAAAGAATGGCTATTGCAGAGAAATGATCTGTATAAATGTACATGATGATATGTTTAATGTGTATTCATAAAAGCAGGTTGTAATACAGTTTTATGTGAAATATGGCACTAATAACCTGTTCTGGGGCAAGAAAAGCTTGAAATGATCACTAATAGCCCATAAAATGTATTGAAGAATGGCTATTGCAGAGAAATGATCTGTATAAATGTACATGGAGATATGTGAATTATGTTTACTGATAAAGCAGGTTGAAACATAGCTTTATATTGCAGTTCTGTCACATGAAAATCCCCGATGATCAATAAGAGCTTGGAACAGATATTTAAGAATTTCAGTTGCAGGTAAAAGTGCTATAAAAAGCCAAAAACTCGCAAGGAACTTTGAACAGGAACATTGTCAAAACTGTTTGAACCTGATATGTTTACAGCATGAAAATAAAAAAAAGAGAATTCATATTTTGTTCACTAACAGTGATATTTTATACTTTGATACTAGTCATTTCTGGAAATGTTGTAATTGAATTCCATGGAACTTGTAATGCTGTTTCAGGACTCGTATAATTCTCTATGAAAGATGTTTCTAATTTATACTTGTTTAGGCTACATTTGCTTTTTTTTTGTGTTGTGGGTGTTTCTCATCATGTAAGACACTTATCAACAGTGAATTTGATACAGCTTCTGTTTCCAGTACAGATTTTTGTACAGGTGTCTTTTGTACAGATTTGAAGTTTTTTGCTTTTTTTTGTTTTGTTTATAGGACATGCTGTATTTTTCTCTCAATTTTACCTACTTTTTTTGGGGGGTTGGCAGTTTGTGCTAACAGGTTCAATGTTACAGCAGAAACACATTTCAGAAGGGAATAGTTTAATGACATACTGATTTTTATGTAATTCATTAAGTTTAATCATGGTGCTTTATAGTTGAAGAAATGCAGGGTTTTATTTCACTGTCAAATCTGCTGTCTTCCTCTTCAAGTCCAGGTTGCTTTACAAGTTTTAGAATATCTTCTGGGGTCATGTATTCTGTAAGAAGTTCTATATTATTAGGATTAAGCAACATGTTGAAATGTTCAGGTGAAACTTAGTTTCCACATCTTCCCCTAAGAACATGCTTTAAATAGAAGGTTTGTAGGAAGTAGCATTATGGAACCATTTCATCCATGCTTATTTCCTTAAACATTTATTTCCTTAAAGTTTCCACATCTTCCCCTAAGAACATGCTTTAAATAGAAGGTTTGTAGGAAGTAGCATTATGGTAACCATTTCATCCTATGCTTATTTCCTTAAACTATGTCATTCTTTTTAGTGCTACATTAATGACTTTCTGATTGAATGGATTATAACTACCTACGTTTGGTTTTTTATATATTCGTTACCTTTTTCCAGTAACATTCTACTACTTTTCCAAGGATTATTTTGTTAATATCATACTCAAAATAATTGAGGAAGGCTGCACTCACTTCACCTCCAGTTTTAGTGGGAATCCTTAAAAAGAATCTTTACTTGTGATTGATATCTTACCCCATTTCTCAACTTGTACTGCCCTCTATCGGCACAAATTTTTGCTCAC